GTAATTATAAAAAAAAAAAGTGAATTTCAAATTTAGATAATGTAATAATAATATTATAAAATTAATGTATTATTCATCTCACTATCAGCAATAAGGATTATGTTGCTAAAAATAGATTTGTTGACTATTCATCTAAATTTTTAGTAACAAGGACTATGTTGCTGATAATGCATTATCAGCAAAATAGGTTTTGTTGCTAAAAAGTGAGGTACATGCATTCCCCTTAACTTTTAGCAACATAAGCCATGTTGTTGAAAATATGCTTTTAGCAACATGGCCTATGTTGCTAAAAATATGCTTTTAGCAACATGGCCTATGTTGCTAAAAATGGGGATAAATTTATCCTCATCCCTCGGCTTCCGGTTTACCACTTATTTTCAGTAACATAAACCACGTTGCTGAAAAAATGTTTTCAGCAACGTGCCTTAAGTTGCTAAAAATTCCTTACCACTTCCAGATAACTTTTGCCGGATTCTAGTGAAAAATTTTACCAACATGGTGCACGTTGCTGAAACTATATTTTCAGCAACGTGCATTATATTGCTGATGTATTAGCAACAATTTGCTTGTTGGTGATGTATTAGCCAGCAAGGTTTCTCAAACAAGGCTTTTACCAACAAAAACCATGTTGCTGAAGGACTTTCAACAACATGGGAGGCACTTTCAGCAACATGGAAGCATGTTGCTGAAGGTAGAAATTTTAGTAGTGTTGATTCATTCTGCTAATCTATTGGAATTGCTGAATTAATGATGTCTGTGTGTTGCATATATCATTTTGGGCTTGTCTGATTTGATTTTTCTCACTTGTAAATGTCACTGTCAAGAACCATTTAACTTGAAAGCTTAAGTTCATATTTAATAGGTAGGTCTAGAAGTAGAAGACTAGAATAGTTTATCTCTCAATCAAAATTTTGAAATGGAAAATCTTGGTATTTTGAGTTATTTTCTGAGGCTTGAAGTTACCTTTTCAGATGATGGCTGCCTTTTTTTCAAAGTATGACTCTGATCTTGTTTCTAAAACTGAACTCAATGATAACAAGAGTGTTTTTACACCTTTTGAACCTAATGTTAAGTTTACACTTATGGTTGGCTCTCCACTTTCTAATCATACTCGATATTGGCAATCGGTTGGTAGTTTGGTTTATCTTATCATAACACATCCTAATATAGCATATGCAATTCACATTGTTAGTCAATTTATGAATGCTCCTTGCTCCACTCATTACACAATACTTCGCATTATTTGTTATGTTAAGGGAACATTGTTTCATAGATATTATTTTTCTGTTAATTGCTCCTTTGTGCTTTGTGCTTACTCAGATGCTAATTGGATTGATGAACTTTTTTATCGCAGATTTACCACTGGTTATTGTCTTTTCCTTCATAATTCTCTTATCTCTTGGCAAAATAACAAACAAACTATTTCATTTTGTTCTAGTATTGAAACTGAGTATAAAACTCTCTGTGACACCACATCAGAACTTTCATTATGGTGGCTTCTTAAAGGTATATGTATTCCTTAGCCTTCTTTCATTGATTTATATTGTGATAATCAAAGTGTTATATAGATTACTCACAATGATGTCTTCCATGAACACAAAGCATATCAAGATTGGATGTCATTTTATCTGTCATTATGTTGCAAAGGAAACTATTCATTTAATTTTCATTAGTTTCACTGATTAACTTGCAAATTTGTTCAACAAGACTCACTTCTCTATATGCTTCCAAACTCAAGTTGGTTTTTTCACCACCATCTTGAGTTTACAAGAATGTTAGAATATTAGCATTTATATTTAAATATTATGTTTACATTGTAATTGATTATATATATTTAAACTAATTGATTTTATATCTAAAAATATTCAATTGTATAAATATATATATGATTTTTGTATATACAATGAAAACAAAAAATAATAAAAAAAATTTTCTTTAAATATTTCTCTTTATTTTTTGTTTCTAACAAAATTAAATTTAAAGATTGTTATCTAAAAAAATTAATTTTCTTCCATACATTAGTTAATGTGAGGGATCAATCTTTAAAATTGTTTTTAAAAAATTAGTTTTAAAATGCATCATCCAAAATAATATAATCTGAAAGTATATGAAAATTTATCTAGAAATCCTGACCATAAAAAAAAAAATTAATAAGAGAAATATAATATACGTCACAATTTTTTTGGGTGCAATATGTCACATTTTCATCCTCTCTTCCGGATGGCACAGTTAATTTGAATTTTGACAGGATTTGCCCAAGGCGTTGGACTTTCCTTAACTCGAGGACAGTCAAGGTCTTCGTCATCGCGGTCCTTTCACTTCTTTTTCATTACATTAAAATGTAGGACCCCGAATAGAATTTAATGACCTGGTATAAGCTGCCACGCTAAATTGAAACCAGGAATCAAAGTCCTGGAGTTGCTGTTAGGTACCAAGAATCAAACCGAGAAATTCTTCAATAGAACGGAATATTACTTCAGTGATATTTTCATTCGTTAA